ATCGTGGCACATATTTTACTATTAATAATTCATGTACTACTTAATTTTGCTAAAAGTGCATAAAATCTGTAGTCTAATGATCGATTACTCATTTTTCGTAATAGAATATTGAACGATTCACCGGCTGACAATTAGTCATGGAATCGTATTTTGAATCTGTGTCAATATTTAAGTAGGATATGAATCATAAAGTAGGGGATGACAAATTTCTAGATGGGTGATTCCGATTAGAATTATTTGCAGAAGGTTTCATTGTATTGAAACAATGAAAGAAACGTTTCTACCTTTTGTTGTGTTTTAAGGATTTTATTCGTCTTTGAATTTCACCCTCAAGCAGGCCACCCCTCCGACACTCCCCTGAATATTTGTTCTCTAAACGGGGTATTCATACTGCTCGGTTTTTCTCCATAAAGTATCTTGAAATAATAAAGTGTCGAAAACTTTCCGAACGATTGAAACTTTCTTCCTCCCATCGTGAAACTTTTAACTCGACAAAAAAATGTTCGCCGGGTCTCTTTAAGGCGGTTCGATTTTCAGAAAAAGACAGACGGGAATATACGCCGAGTTGTCAGCGACTATAAAACATTTGGCACGTACAGAAACGTCTTCTCTCTGTTTGGCAAGTGCCACGTGGCCGGCAGCTGAAAAATTGTTATTGCTCGTCCCGAAGTTAATTGCTTCCGAATCGTCGCCAAAAGAAAAAGTGCGCGAAAATCCGGCGCAGAATAAACATCGCGAAAAATTCGTGGAACCCCTCGCCCAACGTAAACAGAAGTAAAAACTTGGCTTAGAGACGAAACTCTGCGGTGAAACCACCCCGCAACTAGCTGAAAGTGAAAACATCCTCTTTATTGCCTTGTTTCGTTTGCTTCCAAGAAAATTTCTGCCAAGTCCGCTAGAAAAAATTGTACACGAAACAAATCGTGAATAAAAATTCGTGGAACTCTTTGAACAATTTTTTCAAAGCTTATCGCGATATTGAAGATCATTTTGCTTGGAAAGCCTGAAGAGCGCGCGATGGAAAATCGTAACAAGCTTTCCATTAAAGTGACCTGCCCATCTCGTTCTCTTTTCAAACAGTTGTTTGCACGGCGATTTGTTTGCTGGAATAATTGGAGTATTCCGTCGGAAACCACGTCGGTTTCATTCATAGCTGACTCGGGGCTTCTGTTTTCAATATTCCCCGGCGCAGCGTATCGACAGACCGAGAACGGTAGAATGCGAGGATCACTCTTCGCGGAGAAATAAATACACATAGTTATAGGTGTTTCTCCGGGCAATAATCGAGACGAATAATCAGCGAACGGAGAAACGAGGGAGCCTCGGTTATTACATCGGCAACCTTTAGCTAAAGCTCGACGCGGCCGATTAATCTTGCTACCCGCGGTTTCTTATTTACCGGGTGTCGCCTTTTCTATTTTAATCCCGCGAGCGCAGAGCGTGCCGGTCCATAGATAAGGATTAGCCACGCGTGCTACGCGCGGATTAAAGGTAATTGATCAAGATGATCGATGCCGAGTGTACGCGTTCCGCCTCGTCCTTTCTCTTCGCCGCGGGTTGAGAGAAACGTTCCTCTTCGTTCGGGGTGAACGACGACTGATTTAGTGGTTCAACGAAATCACTCGTTGGCCCGGCGTTAAATATAAACCCGTTGGAAAGAAAATAAAGAGCGGTCGGGGCCAGAAGGTGAGAGAATCCGCGGGTTTGCGTTCAGGGAATAGAATCGTCCGCTTTTTCGACTCGGCATGGGTTTACTCGGGTTCATCAAGGCGCGGCCCTTCCCTCCGCGCGTGTTTCCAATCATTCGACATCTCGATTCTCTTTTTTCCCTAGCTGGCATGATCCTATGCACGTGTCTAGAATTCCTCGACGTTCTCCTAGCAAACGAAGTTTCTTCGTTTGATTCAGAATCATCCTGTTTGTTATGAACGATATAGCAATTTGTGCGTTTGTATTAAATATTCTTCTTGGAGTCTAGCAATTACATGGAATATTGTGAAAGTCGACTGCGTTGTTACTTCTTAAGAAAGTCGTGTTTGATCGATGATGAAAAAGAAAGAAGTCGGTCAAAGGGAGAATCGG